GAGCTGCTGATCTTCTCGTGAAGTGGTGACACGAACGTGTGTACCGGTGGCGTTGTGCTGCTTTCACTGCGGGTGTGCACCTGAACGCAGGGCAGCGGGCTGACGACTACAGCCAATCTCCTCGTGGAGCGACGGACGATGAACTATTGTAATAGTTGAGCGTAGAACAACGGACTGTGTAGCAACAGTAAAACGGCGTAGGACAACGAAGCACTTATTGAGAAGTAACGCGCGTAATGGCCGACGAACATGAACGGCAAAAACGTGGTTTTAGCGCGGACGGTACAGACGAGCAAGTCGGTACCCGTTGAGCTGGAGCAAGCAACGACCAGAGCGAAAGTGTTACGGATCACTGAATATTACGACATAACGAGTGTAATGGCCGACGAACACGAGCATGAACGGCAACGAGCAGAACACAAAAACGTGGTTTAGAGCGTAAACGGTACGAACGAGCAAGTAGGTACACGGGGAGCTGGAGCAAGCCCCGACCAGAGCAAAAGCAAAAGTGATGAGACCGCACGAACACGCCGGCGCCGAATCCGGTAACGGCTACCGTGACAGTCTAGCCAACATAGCGTTTGACGGTAAACAGCGCGACCACCGACGGCGGCAGCGGGTAATCAAACGGATCGAACACCTTTTTGTCTTGTCCAGTGCAAATTTTGGGTAATGCTAAGGTAGTAATATTATTTTTTATACAAAATTGCCTAGTATTAGTTAATGTGCTAAAAATGTTAGTGTATGCTGGTTTGTCGTAATATTTATTTTTTGTTATGAGGTATAGAATCCATTGTCTTCCGTTTTTCAAATAAGCAATTTCGGTCGGTTTTTTTTCTTGGTCTATTAAATTTTGAACGTTGTTAAATTTATTTCTAAATTGTAATGCGATCCCCTTCTACATGGTGAGGCATTGGCTTGTGCAATGGCCGATTGCGATATCATTTGGTAATGAAAAAATATTTACCGTCTGTTCACTGTAATCGCATAGGAAGTCGGTTCTATCGCTATTGCTGAGTAGGAATTTTTGGAATTCATTTAATGGGTTCAAATTACTTATTGTTACGATGTTTTCTATAGATTTTTCGTCATCGTCGTTTATTTCATTAGTTATTAATTTATTTGAATTTTTTGATTTGTACCAATTTTCTACAAAATGTATATAATTATTTTTCTCAATCTGCTTCTCTTTGTTAAATTTTGAGGTGTCGGTTTTGGTATTAGTATTATATTTTGTTCCCCGAGTTAGATATTCCGATTTTTCTCTTAGCTCGGGTGCTATTCGTTTTTTGAAAAATTGCAATCGTTGGCATAGTGTCCTTTACCATTGCATTTGTAGCATGTTATTTTTTCTCTTCCGTTAAATCTCTTCGGCGTCGTGGATCTTGAATATCTTTCTCTGCTGTTTTCCCTACTATACTGTTTCCAATTTGTGTCATTTTCACTATTTCTGTTGTTATAACTATTTTTATCTCTGGATCTGTCGTAGGAGTTTTCCCTATTTCTTGAGTCAGACCTATCTCTATTATTGCTCATTTTTCTACTGTTATTTCTATATTTATTGTTATTGTATCTATCTCTACTAGTTTCTCTGAACTTATAGTTGTTGTACCTATCGGGATAAGGACTTTTTTCTCTATAATTGTTCCTGCCTTCGTGATCTGTTCTTTCTGGATATGGACTTTTGTCTCGCTTGCGTGATCTATTTTCAAAATTGACTGTCTTGTCGTATTTTTTAAAATTATGCATTTCTGTACATAGTTGTTCGATTTTGGTACACAGATGATCGATTTTATTTTTATGATAACTGTCTATTCCTTCTAATTTTGTATTTAATCGTTTTATTTCTTGATGGCTGTCTTTAATTTCATTATTTAGTTGCATTACTTGTTTATTTAAGATTTCCGTGTATTCGCTGAGTCCTGAACTTCTTGAATTAATTCTAAATTGCATAATTTAATAAGATCTGGTTTCTTTTGTAAATAAATATCGGTTAATTTTGTAATTTTTTTCCCAAAGCTATAAGGTGTTCGTCATTCATATCATAATAAAATTTACTTTAATTAATTTATGATTAACACTTAATTAATTAATTTTTGAACAGTTTGAAACTTAAATTAAAATATTTTCGTGGTTATTTAATATTGAATAAACATTTTGAAAAATTATTGAGAAAAAAAAATCCTATTTAAATTTAAAATAAACTAATCTACAATCCTAATATTAATACGTTAGTATATCACTTAAATTAATATATTTTTGCGGTTATAATTATATCGAATAAAAATTTTGAAAAGAAAAAAAAAGGAAATAGAGAGAAAAAATTGAACTAAAAAAAAATCCTATTTAAATAGTTTTTATAAAAAACCTAATCTACTTGTTTAAAACTTAAATTAAAATTTTGCTGTTATTTAAAATTGAAAAAAAAAATTTTGAAAAATTATTGAACTAAAATTCTATTTAAATTGTTTTAAGAAAAATCTAATCTATAATCCTAATATAAGTATATTACAAAACGTTGCTCACCTTGGCGTATACTTGTAGACGCACGGTTGCAAAAAATTGTACCACGCGGCACAAAACTGCTGTCTTGTCGGTCAGACGAAAATCGAACGCGTATGTGTTACTCACTCGGTATACACACGCACAAAAATTGCGTTCTGGGTTTACACTGCACCCAAAACACAAAAGGTATATTTTACTTTAACGGAAAAAATCACTAAACTCGCTCCGGGTTTTACTATCCGAAACGTGCACAATTGTTGTACTTCACTTGTACCAAAAAAAATGGTGTGTCAAGGGAATCTCTCCCAGACTACACGTAAAAACTGTCGTACTTCTCGTACGTAAACACTTTCAAAAAAATTAAACTTGCCAAGGTTGAGGTACCAGGGCACAAAATCAAAAAAAAATGTCTCCGACCGTAGGTAAGTAACCCCGTTGGGCGCCACTCTGTGGTATCACCCGTATTGGATAATACGCGGTAAATCAACTTTATACCTTACCCTCGTACGCTCTAGGCTAATGACTGTCTCTAGAATATATTCAGATTAGCACTGTTAACCTTTGAGGTACGATGGTAGCGTTTTGTCAGTTCTTCGTTCGTTTCCTAAATTGGAATGACTATTAGGACGCCACAACCAGAGCACTGTTCAGTTTGTAATAAACCTCATTGACTATAGGTGTGTGGGTCTGAGCACTGTTCCAATATTAAAGGTAAGAACGAAGAAGACTTTGAAATAAAACTCAACTCGGGTTTTTAGGTCGGAAACACTTTTATTATATTAAAACAAACATAAATTAAACACTTAGCAAATCCGGATTGCCTAGCCCGTACTACGATCGACGTTTCACGCGTACGACCACAGTACCTACGTCCTCGCCGATTCACTCAGCGACAACGGGACTCTCCCGTGCCTGCGCGTGCGGCGGTGTTATATAGTAATCTTATAGCTGTCTCAGCACATATGCTTCACTGACCTATGTCAATGGTTTACAATAAAAAGTTCCCACCTCTATTACATATATGAAATAATATTTAGACGACTGTCTACAATATACGACACGAAGACTCCCGGGTTTTGGCGCCTTGCGGCTACAACCGCGGACCTCACATTAGCGCTGTGCGCTAGTCGAGAGCCGCGGAGGTTCACGGTCGACGTACGGTGGCCCAGTCCGCCGACCGCGCGTCGTCTACGGACCACGAGCACCGGGACCGAGGTCCCGTACCAAGAAGACAGGCCAAGTGCCGCCTGAATTCGCCTGGTCTGGCTGTGCGCTATCCCCCACACCGAGTGTTTCTGGTTACACTCAACCTCCGATGATACTACACCGGTATAGCGGCTAGACGCCCGAGAGGAACCGACGACGTACCGGTGACTCGCGCCCCCGGGACGTGGCGGCCGTTCATCAGAGGTTTTCGCCTGTCAGCGAGAACTTAGAATAAGCATCTATTGACTTAACCACAAAGTATTCGTTTAAGAAAACCGCCACCACGATTCCTACCGGCAACGGACGTCCAGGGGCGTGAACCATCACTGGACGCCCGCGGTGAGCGGCGTCGTTTAAGACGGGGCCCCACTCACTCCCGTGGTACTGAAGCGTCTTCAGTCAGACTTTCACCCCCTCGAGAGCTACCAGTTCTAGTCCGACAAGACGGGCATTGGTCTGCCTTAACCGCGGACGAGCGTCCGCGGGGTGCGAATTTAATCTCGGCCACCACCCTTTCGAACCATCATCAGCTAGGACCCGTTCTTTGGGTCAGTCTGGCCGAACGTCCCGACCCGGATGCCTGCCGAGCCGAGGCGCCCAGCCCAAGCTGACGACAGCCCTACCTTTCAGTCAAAGGTGGGACTATTTGCGACGACCACCCTCGCCTACCGAATTAGGGACTCTAAGCAGACGAGCCATCAGCCGCGAGCCCGTAACACTCACCGCAGTGTCCCGGAGACATGCCCAAACCCGGCTTACGCTGAGACGCCCGGCTGCTGGACGGAGCGAACTCCGGCGCCCGTGCTCTCAACTCATATTAAGAGCACCACCGCCTGGGTCGGTGGCCCAGCCGGCGACCGTGAACCGGCCCAGAGGACATACTGTCCGGAACTACGGGTCATTTAATCGAAGCTGTCCGCGGCCGGTTATTAGTTATTCGCCGGCTACCCGACTCGGAAGCTACCGAGGGAACCGGGCTTCCCTCTATCCGCAACCCGAGGACGCGATCTATACCGTGCGTCCACGGTCGCGAAACTCACAGTAGGCGGCTGTGGTTTCGCTAGATTACAATATACGACAGTATGCCGAAGAAGATGGACATTACACTGGTTTTAAAAACTCAAAAATACCATATTAAAAATAAGTTAAAATTATGTACAATCTGTAATTATTTATATTTTATTTATGAAAAAGTATACACCTTGATACTCAAATAATATTTTATACAACTAAAAGATAACTAGCCTGATTACAATAAAGTACAATAAAGTTTGATAAAAATACTTATTTTATTTATTAGAAAATCTTGAATATTTTTTTTCACGCATTTCGACTAAATCTGGTTTCGGTAAAAGAACGATATTTTGTGGAACAGATACATTTTCAGAGATATTCATAGGTTCTAAGATATTTTCTTTTGACAATTCTTCAATCTTATTCATAATTTGTTTCCGCCAATCCATCTTTGATCGTTCGTAAGTATTTTTTATTGTGTATTTTCGAAGAGATTTCGAAAAAACCATTTTATCACCAATTATGTTTTTGCCTGTGTTATAATTATGATCTAGTATTGCTAAAATGGAACGTAAATACATACCATTATATTTTAAATGTATACGCTTCGGCATATATTTTAGTCGTACATTGTGGTAAGATTCTAACCGACCCGTATGAACAAAATGTTTTGCCTGTTCCAAATCTTTTATAAAATCTTTCGCTGTTAAAATTTTTTTTAACGCAAAAAATGATTCACTCAGAGGGTTAATCCATAATTTTTCATTTGATTCTTTTTCTGATATTGACTCATGTTCACATCGTTTTATTTCTCCACTCGTTTCCCATTCGTGTTCATTACTAATATGATGTAAAACTGATAAAAATTTTTCAACCAATATTTTACCATTTCCTTGGCAAGTTTGCGCCGACCACCATAAATGGTTGTTAATACTAGATTTCCATAGAAAAACATTTGGATGTTTCTTTTCTAATGTTTTTAATCTCTTCATTAAACTTTTTGTTAAGTGCCATATATCAAACTCATGTTCAATCTCAGGGTGCTGTGTTCGTAAATAATACCGTATACCTTTATGCCTATCGGATAAAAATAATTTTATTTTCATATTTTCATATTTTCTTCTTTAGTTAAATTTTCTAATAATAATTCACACGCTTTTCTTTCGAGATCACCTTGAAACATACCTTTTTGTACGAGCTTAAAATCAATTATTTTACTGGTGTGTAGATCCATAATTGAATATGTACAATATTTTGCGCAAAATCCAGGCGAATCAAACTGTCCATCACCCGATAACCAAATATCAGAATTTTTTAGTAATTCTAAGTTTTTTTTTCGATGGTCATCCCAAACTTCGCAAATAACCCGGCCCGTATAATATTTTATTATATTGTCATAAACTGGCCGAGAAAAAAAAGACAAGTTAAGCGACTGACAAAATGCCGTCATTTGGGTAAAAAGTACACCCGATAACATAAGTGCTGAACCGATTAAAATATTACCTTGAGGACGACGTCCTATTTTTTTTTGCGATGACCATTGTAATTTATGACCTTTATTACAGACTGTCGTAATAGACAGTAAAGCACCTTGCGTAAAATATGTTTTTGATATTATTTTACTGCTACATTGACGACAATGAATAAACAGTTCAGATAAACAATCCCAAAAAACTATATAACTTGCATTACTATCTACCTTTTCTAGTGAATGTGTTTTAGCGCTAAGATAATCGAGCTGCTCTTCATCTTCTCCATAAGTTGTTTCTGATTCGTCATCTGTAGAGCTAATATCAGATGGAAAATCGAATGATTCGGTAGCATCAGTATTTGTTTCATTATCCATATCACACTGTATACCTTTATCGTTCTTATTTTCGACATTTGAATTAATCAGATACTCTTCACTATTTTGTTCTTGACAATTATTCATACATATAATATTAGTTGATGTTGATGGTTGTAGTTTTACTTTTTTTGGTGTACTGGTTCTCAGTAATTGTCTTCTTACAGTTTTCGGCGTAATTTTCTCGTCGTCAAAACGTACAGTAGGAACAGCATCAACATTTAAACGTATTCGAATATTTTCATTTGGCATCAACTGTTTTCGGAGCAAATCAGATTGATTCATATCTTCAGTTCTAAAATGTTTAGAACATATTCTGGTACCTGAAGAAGGTACAAAATTCTTTCTTTTACAAAAAGATACCCACTTTTTAAATGTACCATGATGTTTATCTTTTCTTGGGAAAGAGAAAAATTGTACATTTTTACCAGAATATGACGAACAACCATAAACACAACACAGAGTCATATTTTTAATTTTTGTTAATTTTTATATTTATTGTTACACTTTTATAATTTTTTATAGAGCATACATTTATACAACACTACAAATAAAATAAAAACAAAATCGAAAAAACAAACGAAAACGTTTCTAAAAACGAAACTACTTTATAAAACACGTCACGACAACCATTATCATAGTTCACGTAGTACTGATTTATAAAATAATAAATAATTTGAATGACTGAATTATCATGATTGCGTGTTACCGAAAAATAATATTAATTATAACATTGGTCTGAGAGTGCAGGGAACTGGGAATATCATTTATCAACGATTACAATAATAGCTAGAGTATAGACTGTTGAACAGTATCATATTTTGTGACTATGCCACTATAATTATTGCTATAGTTAATTATATAATATTATAACATATATTATTATAACATTAAGTTAAATCGAAAATTATGAACGTTAAAAATATCTCTAAGACCAAACCCGGTATATTGAATATTACATTCATAATAATGGGTAAACAAAGTTGAAGACGTAATATTTACATGTATAAACGCCAGGAGAATAGATTCTATGACGTCACACGTCAACTTCAAATGCCTGTATATCGCCAACGAAACGTCGTAAACATTTTTAGTTTGGACCATTATTTTTTAAACACGGAGTACTGTGTTTTTTGAGTATAAAATAAATTTAAATTTTTTCCTTTCATGGTCCTTTAAGTTTATTGATAAAATAATGGCACAATATTACTATAATTTTACTATAAACAGTTTGGTGAAGTATAAATATAAAAATTAAAATTAAAATTATAAATTATTAATTACAAATATCAAATAGTATATAATATGTTATAGCTCCGGGTACAGCTAGCTGTTATATAAAAAAAAAAAATTTGAAAATCACAAATATCGTATAATATATGCTATAGCCTTTATAAAATTTAAATTTTATTACCAAATTATTATATTTCCGAACGGTATCGCGTCAATTTTTCCGCGAAAATATTTCGCGTGACAATTATTCGCAGGAAAATTATTCGTATACGACAATTGTTCTGTTCGAGCATAAATAGATCGTAAAAAAAAAAATAATATTTTTTAATCTATAGTCTATAACGTATCACATTAGGTATCTTTAACACACACACACACAACATAGTGAAGTGTGGCTTATTGCAAACACGTTTTAAAATCATATCGATAACTTATTGTTATCGAACATTAGGTATATATAGATTATCTAATGGGTACAAAATTTCCATTTCTAATTTTCGACTGAATGTTTAGGTACAGGGATAATATACATGTCATGTTAAGCTATGTAAACCTATTTTGAATTAATAATGTAAGGAAAAAAATTATTTTAATGTTATTTGTAAACCTATTTTGAATGAATATATTGAACATGCAAACTACGTATAGATATGCACAAACAATTTTCGTATTCGAATAATTAAAAAAGTTTACCTCGTGTTTATCAGCTATATGACTATGGACTTTTCCAATTTGAGGATGTCCAATCTGTAAGTCCGTGTACATTGTTCCGCGACATTTCAATGAACGTTCTTTTGCACATCTCCACTTTAATCGTTTACGTCCTTGATGTTTCATTATAATATATGTATATCCTCTCCAACAAATTTTGTTCCCACCTTTGTTGGACTTAATAACTTCCATGTTTTACAACAAATTACGGTTATATATCACGTATTCACGTCGAAATGCAACTGACACAAAATGTATGGATGTTCCAGTTTATATCGATAATCCTACCACTGTTATCCAAAGTAATCAATTTTAAACCTATATTATACCCAATACTTAATAGGATTTTACGTATATTTTTGTGTATATATATTGGCAGAACCGAACCTTAACAGTTGTTTTATTTTTGGAGAACCAGTCCGGAACCTATACTGATAAATTCAAAAGGTTCCAGTCCCTGTAACTTCGGCACGCCACTGCCTATACGTATTATGTATCCTGGGCTATAGACTATTTGTCCATATAGGTATGAAGTATTAAACCTACCTAATATTATTACGTACCTCTTAAATTGTACGCAGCCCTGAGTAAATATAGTTCAGTAGTTAATAGATCGGGACATATAGGTAATATCAAGTGAAGAAAGTAAGGCGTGGAAAAATTTCCAAAAAAAATAATACTTACCTACCTACCTATAATACATTAATATGGTTGAACCATTGTCTTGCCCGTCGATACTGAAAGTAATAAACAAATGTGCGGAAGGATTGCGATGATGCAGACGACGGATTTTAGTGAAATTAAAATTCGGCTGCGGCTCGGTAATAATAATATCTGTACAGGTATAATATTATAAGGATATCAGTGGGTGGGTGGTGAAGACTCGCTGTGGGACGACTCGTGCGATGTCAGACATTACTTTTGAACGGTTCGACGGTTTTACGCGGTGACGGTGACTTTACCGCCATTGTATCGCCGTCATCGATGTAGCGTCGTATATACCTACGACGATATATATATAATAATAATATATACATAGTACATAATATATAAATACGCAGTAATTATATATACATAGACGTCGGATTGTTATTATTATTATGCGTGCAGGCCGCGGAAGAGATTAATAATTATTTTTCGTAACATCCGTCTCGTGCGATGAATGGTGGACGGGAGCAAACTTATCAATTCAGCTGCGCGCGGCGGCGTGAATTGTCGTTGTTATTACTATTTCCGGATCCGACCGGTGGGCGGGCGGGCCTGGATATTTTTAATCGAAAGATGAAAGTAATAATAATAATAATACTTTGCGTTCCGCTTATATATGTATACATTATAATATATATAGGTAGGTACACAGTGACAGTTATCATTGTAATAATAGTAATAATAATAAATTCCGCCAAAGTTTTTTCTCGCGTCTTTCAAAAAACCGTAATTGGTAATTACGATCACCGACCGACGTTTACGTTTAATTTTTAATATTATCGCGGTGTATATGTATAAGTGCTGACGACTGACTGAGTATTATATTACTTAACGCGGAAGGCGCACCTGTTTATTATTATTATTATTTATATACCTATCTCAACTGTCGGCGAATCGGCGAGGTATAATAAATTGTTAAAATTATCATCCCTATATACAATATACCACACCCCGAATTATTTTTCAGCAAACCGAATATTTGGATGTCAATAATTGCAACTTCAAAATTCTTGTAAATTATAAACAAATGTTTCAACATCAATTTTAATGACTTTTGTTTATGAAACGAAATTGAAATTATTATTATTACCAATAGTTTTGAATATAATATCAAAACTCCAGTTGTATAATAGGTACCTATCTATACCTAATCTATATAGGTATTATACTATTATGATTATCACGATAGTTTTTGTTATTTTAGAACATCATGTTTAGGTTAGGTACGTACTATGTAGGAATTTGACATATCTGATTATTACCTATCTACAGTGTACTATACTAAATATGGTACCTGTTGGGACTTTAAATGTTACATAGTAACTAGGGTTACTACATCTCCATATTTTAATTCTGCCAAGTCGAGCACTGGTTAAACTGTAAAGTTGGTAATATAATATTGTACATTATTATGATCGCTCGTCGCTCGACCTCGGCTGCATATTATTATAACATTATTATATTATTAGACGTTATAATATTTTATAATAAAGTAGTGTTTGTTTATGGTAAAAGCCCGAGTGCGTAGCAACGTATGCCTGTGCGGCTCCGTCAGAATTCCGTTGCCTGGCGCCCGCTGAGTCTGTGGACGCGAACAATATGGCGGCGATTATTGTGGCGAGTCTCTTGTGGTTGCCGTCTGCAGACTGCATCGGTCGGACCACCACCGTGGACGCAGGATCGGCGGAAGTGGAGTCGGCCACGGAGTCAGCCACGGAGACGGCGGCTTCGGTGGCGACGAGGAGGACGTCCCCGGCTGGCCAGTTTTCCGTGAACATGATCCTGCCTTTCAGCAAGTCCACCATCCGGTATAGTTATACGGAACCTACGGCCTTGGCCTCCTCGGTCAGGATTCCCGTCCAGACGATGGACGTCGACCAGGCGCACAGCATGAGCGTGTCGCCTTACGGGTGCGATACCGCGAACAACAGCCGTGGCTCCGGTGGCCAGCGGAAGCGGAAGCGGGCGCGATGGAAGACCACTGCTGCGCTTCCGGCGGCGGCGGACGACGAGCAATCCGACAGCGTCGTGACGCGCATGCAGACCAACACGGTAGTGCCATTGCCCGGATATCCGACGGCTCAAAGTGGCCAAGGTGTAGTGTTCGAAGCGGCCGCCGAACAGTTGGACCAGCTGTACACCGTCAGCCGGTTGGCCAGCACGGTGAGCGGCATCGGCGACAACGCGGAAGCGAGCGGCGAAGGCGGCACTACCGACGCCGCGGAAGACAGTACCGTGAAATGACGTCTTTAAGCGAGCCGGTGGCCACTATTAGGACCCCAAATTCACGTCATAATCTGCAAACAGCGGCCCGGGAAATCTTCTATATCGCGAGACAGACCCGACTCGCCGCCACCCCCGCAGTGGTTCAGCGTGATATTTTTTGTTAATATTGTGTTTGTATACATATCGTTTTGTTATTGCTTATTATCGTATTGCTTGTTGTATTTAAAATGTATTCTCTACTCATATGATTTGATAAATATTTCAATAGCTCTCTAGTTAAAATCATTTTTGTATATTCAATTCATTCGGACGTTAAGTCCAATGACAATAATTAGTCAATAACTCACAGCAACATTATTGGAGATGAATGTTAAATATTAGATTAGTGGTAATTTCATAATTTGATCAATATTTGGTGTCTAATTACTGTATAAGTCTGGTACACGTACCAGACACGTCTTAATATGGTTCCTATAATCTTATAGACAAATACGATAATAATTTGACACATTTTAATTTAAACTAGGTTACTGTACATCGTAATATTAATCTATTATCACTAATAATGACGTGTACTTAAGTATGTAATGGATGGTGTTAAATTTGAATTCAATGATAAAATATAAATGTCCAATCCTTAACTATAAAAGTAGAACATTTTATACATTTTTAACTACAAAATAATTATTAAATTTTAAATATGATACATTTTGTCAAAACATTAAATGCTTATAAAAAAAAATTGTGAATATATATTTTTAATATTTTTCAATTGCCAATTGTAACAATATATGAGGAGCCTTGCATTAAATTTTCACGCTTTTTTGCCCAATGTCCGTAAACAGCTCAAAAAGAGTCAAAATATTTTCAAAATTTTATGGTGTATAAAAAATGAAAATATAAACATTCAGTTAAAATTTTCATGTATCTACAGTTAGTCATTTTTGAATAACAATAAAATAACAAAACCGTTACATGAGAAATCAAGTGAATATAAAATATTGTAAAAATATGAACTTCAAACGCTCATAAAAATTTAATTTGATTTGTTTGTAGACTTTTTTTTTTGATAAAGTTAGACAAACTTATGAATAATCTTGTATTATACATTTTCAAATTTTAGATTTATGAATTTTTAACTCAAAATAATTTGCTATTTTTCGTGAATTTTCCGTACTTTGTCAAGTAAAAAAAAAAATGTGACTAAGGATTTTTAATATTTTTCAAATGCCATTGTAATAATCTAGTAGGAGCCTTGTATTAAACATTCAATCTATTTTACCCAATAAATAAAGTTTTATTGACATTCATAGACAAAATGTCTAATAAAATTTTAAACTGAAAATGTTCCCAAACAGTTCAAAACAAATCAAAATATTTTTAAAATTTTATCGTGTGTAGAAAATGCAAATATAAACAACCATTGAAAGTCGATTTTGTGTAAAAATTTTCATTTTTCCTTAATTTTTATGCAGTTTTTCCCGGCGCTTTTGAAAACTATTGAGAATAAAATTCATTTTTCCATCGAACTGGAATTAAACATTGTACTGAGTACTGGCCCAGTAAAAATGTTAACACTAATCGGGTATCGAGTATGGTCCCATCGGCGTAACTATGGAGGGGGGGCTAGCACCCCCTACCTATGAGGTTTTACTTTTTAGCCTCTCCTTAGGCTCGTAGTTAGAACCCAAATCATAACAAAAAAAAATAATTTGTAAAATAATAAATTATTATATTATAAAATATGATATAATATAATTTACATTGTGTACAGTATACATATATCAGTACGAATTTATCGTAATTTATTGATCATAGTTTTCGCGGTAGAAATGTGTTTAAAGTGTATGTAGATAAGCTGCTTAGGGCATATTAGCTTCAAGCTTACCTATACAACGCCTCCAATTAGTATAATATTAATATAATATTATTTTATTACCTTTAAATAGGTGCCTGTGTCCCGTATTGGTATACCTAATACCTATTCTTATAATATTATAGTTACCTATATTAGCTGTTGTATCGCACATTCGTACAACAGTGGTTGAATATTATTATATAGGTAAATAATTTTATTTTCAAATTCTTAGTAAGTTCTCAATTTACTGTGCGTCTGTGGCACTCTGTGCAGACTGCAAAGTAGGTAGGTACTATTACAGACTGTCACAGCCGTTATTTTTATTTTTGAGTACGTATACGGTATACGTAAATAAGTTCGATTTTATTGTATACAATTATCAAAATGTTCAGTATATTCGAATTAAAAAAATCAAGTAGTGCTAAGAACGAAAATGGCCCAAACAATTATGGTTTATATTAAATTTTGCTTTTAGCGGACTTTTTGTAATAACTAAATTTCAGTACATTTTATAGGGCTTTGCCCCCACTCGTTATTTTACACTTTGGTTTTGTAGGGCTCTAGGCCCTGTAACTATTCAATCCTAGTGACGCCCATGACGTGTAGGTCGAGTAGAAGCGGGTATTATACTACTATCAAAGTATTAAGTATCAACTATATAAACATTAGACAGTAAACACGAGATATATTTTTGTAATTCGTAAAAGAAAAACATGATATGTTTATAATCAACTGGCTATTGTAAATCGGTTCAGTTATTCCAATATGTATCAAAATAAATTACAATTTATTACCCTAGAATTTTAGATTTTTCCCGTTATATTAATTATAGGTATGCATATATATTTATAAATAGATTATTAGAGTTTGTCATTGAATAAGAGTCGAGTAAAAATGTAGTATTTCGCCAGGTACCGAGTAATTGCAGGGTAAAAATGTAGGTATTATGCCGGGTAAGAGCTGAATCTTAAATATGATATCGAGTAATTATTGCCGGGTACCCGGAACATTTCTAGTAATAATGTTATAAGGCGAATAAAAGAACGTACTACAAACTAATTAATACTTTTTAATTAATCAAATACTATTAAATGAAATAAATTTAAATATTTATATATTTTCAGATGTTTTTCCTGATTGCAGAAGACATTTTTAACACATAATTGACATATTCAATAATAGTAGAAATATCGTGCGGATTTTAAATTAGCAGCTTTTAATGCATTTATATTTGTTTAACCTTCTTATCAAATAACTCCGAGTTTTTTCCACGTCTCCCAATCACTTAAATTCCCACAAGAAGGCTTACAAATCACAGATAATATACTCAACAGAATAGATGTTGATTTTACCAAAAATGTTCGGTTATGATAGAAAAAAAAATACATAATTAACAAATTAATACATTCATCACTCCTCTCAGAATCTAAAATTAAACATTATGTATACCTGCCTAAATAATATTTAGTAAAGTATATTATAACTGATATGAAGTAACGAACTGCAATACAGGTAATGAATATGTATATACATTAGTAGGTACTCATAAAACAATTTCAAGATGTATTTATATATTTGATCTATAATTGTTTGTAGAAGAAATCTCTACGGATAATAAAAAAATGTTAATAAACAAGTGAGAAAGAGAATATTTGTTGTTGTACACACTCTGAAAGCTGATGAATTATTTTCATCAAACGTACACGATGGGCTGGAAACAATGGGATCAAACATATTTTCGATCGATGTCCATGGACACAAAGTACATCCATACTTCTCAACAGTCATTGGAACTTCATTGACAAAAAAAGTTACTTTTTTCTCACCGTGACATTCGTAAAGCACGGCCATCAAATTTGATGCAAAAGGATCCAAATATGATGTTTTCCATTTTCTATCGCGCATATCATTAAAGTTAGAACTTAGCAAAGGCGTAGTGTCTCTGGCAAAACCTAGTCTAACAATTGCACTAAATACGTTCGCTGAATGACCAAAATAAAACACTCCTTTTGGCCCGGGTTTTGCTTGAGATTTATTCCTATGAAAATAAAAATATTCTTGTAACCGATAAATAAATAAAAATTTAGGTAAATATAGTTGAAATTGTAAGTTACACACCTAAAGTTATTCATGAGATCTCTCACGATCGGACAGCCAAGTCTTTCGTTGTATGAGTTGCCATACCCATTTGAGTAGTAATACTTTAAATCGTCATTGTACTCAAGAACCTATAAAAGTAGGTATACATTAATAAATTAATCACTGAACATGATACTACTTGATTATAAAAAATATTGATGTATTTACTTCTAAATCTTCTTGAGAAAATACGGCACACCAAGCTGGGTGAGAATTTATGTCCACTGATCTTTCGAATCGACATGAGTTGTACATAGATTTTATTGTACCTATAAAATCATTATAATACAAATTAAGTTTTAAGACCAAATATAATTTGATTAATAAGATTTACCGAACTCCAGATTACGATCAAGTCCCAAAATATTCGATACTCTGACAATTACGTTTTGCATGTATATACTATTACGAAAATTCTTTAATTCCTCGTTGTCATATATAATTTGAAATTTTGATATCTAGAATTAATGAAGTAACATGTATTACTAATTAACTTATATCTTATATAAATAGAATATAGAAATATTATTTCAATTTAGAATGTTTAGAATTTAAAATAAAGTTACGTTTAATTTGATATCATCGCTATTTATTAAAGGTATGTCCGTAACATTCACATTAAAGACAGATTTTAAAAAGTAAAATGCACTATCCCTTGATCTTTCTTTATTCGATGATAACACCTGAAAATTCATAACATAATTAAATTATATTTAATTTAAGTATATTAAAAGGTAAATAATAAAATTACACTGTATGTTATGGGATTATAAGGTTGGTCAAAAATGTCTTCGTATAAACTTTGAAGTCTCAATCCCAAAGATGACAAATCATTAACACCTTGGTTATTGAGTTTAGATCCATCTTTTTCAGTCAAATTAAAAATCCATGCTTTGATTGCCTCAAAATCTTCTTTGCATAAACTTGAATTATTGGTTAGGTTATCTTTATACTCATTTAAATTCGATATTTCATCTATTAAAGTGCTTTCGGGATGTCGAGTACCATGTCTGGACAATAGCCACAATTGCAATGGCTTACAATCTATTCAAAAATTATAAAATATTAATTTATTGATTATAATATAGTTATGGAATTAGTAAACACTTGTTATTCAACACAATTTATTACATAGACTATATAAAAGAAAAGAAAGAACATTATTTATAGAATAATAATAAAATATATCACCAATATAATCGTTATTACCTATCATATTCATCAGATCAGATGATTCAAGTACCTAGCTGAACCTATTAAAACATTATATTTTGATGAAATTGTATTCATATATTTTAGATTCTGAGTGGAGCGATGAATGTATTGATTTTACAATAATGTGTGTTTTTTTTTGTGTCTCATCAGTCATCACCTTTTAGGACAGTATAAATGCTTGGATTTTCTTCAACAGTATCTTTTCTGATAGGAAAGTGAATCTAGTTGGTATTTTGGGTCGTCAAAAGTAAAATTTTTCCAGTAGTTTTTAAAAGGCGCGTTACAAAACAAAAGAAAAATTAAGGAAAAATGGGAATTTTTAAGCAAAATCTATTTTCGAAAAAATCGATTTTGGATTTTGGTGCAACTCTAAAACAAATAACAGCAGGTACATGAAATTTTGACTTAATTTTTATATTAGCATTTTCTATACACCATACAATTTTCCAAATATTTTTACTTATTTTGAGCTGTTTACGGATATTTTCAGTTTCCATTTTTTTTAGTTTCCTTTTCTATAAATATCAATCAAATTTTATTTGTTGGTTAAAAAATCTTAAAAATTTAATAGAAGGCTCCTAGTATATTTTTTCAAAGACAGATGAAAAAATTAAAAATCCAGTCACAATTTTTTTTTATAAGAATTTTAAGTTCAAATATTGTCAAAATACGTAAAAATGACAAAAATTTGCAAATTATTTTGAGTTAGAAATTCATAAAAAAATGTCTTTTTTTAAATCTGAGATTTCAAAATGCAATACAAGATTACTCATAAGTTTGTCTACTTTTATAAAAAAATAATGTCTACATGAAACTCAAATTAAATTTTTATGAGCGTTTGAAATTCATATTTTTACAACATCTGATATTCACTGGATTTCTCATGTAACGGTTTTCTTATTTTATTGTAGGTAATTAAAAAACAAATGACTATAGATGCTTGAAAATTTCACTGAATATTTATATTAGCATTTTCTATATTGGCATCCACTTATCCACTTTTTTTTGTTAAAAGTACCGTAAAAGGGGGTGAATAGGGTCAATTTTAAAGGTTTTTTGAAAATATCTCTTAGAGTTTTTAACATAGGTTCATTATTTTTTTTTTTAATGAAAGGTAAGATGTCACCCAATATAATTTATTATAAAAAAATACATTCGCATAACCAAATTTTTTTATATATTTTTTTAAAAATGTGACCCTATTCATACCCACTATGGGGTGAATAGGGTCACATGATTATTTTGCTCTAAAAACCTATTCACACTGTCCCAGAGGTTAATAGGGTCAGAAATATAAATTTTTAAAAATGTTAAGTTATACCTATAAAATGTATTGATCAGTGAAAAATAGTTTAAACTTTAAAGTAGTAAAAATGAAAAAAAACACAATTGAAGTTTAAATTAATGAATACAGTTCTTTCATTTTTGAATTAATAATACAATATTTAAGCAATAGGCAGGTAATAATATTTTTTTAACAATAGAAAATAAGCACCTTCATATAAAAAATAAAAATAAACAACACTGGCTTTTTAAAGAATTTTCTTAAACGCTTTATTTATTACGCATAATAATATTTTCTTTTATTTATAATACTAATTTAACAATTTATTCAGTCCTTGAATTAACAACATTTGCTTGATATTTTTTAACAATACCAAATAAATACCCTCATATAACAATAAAAATAAATAAAACTTAAATAAGAATTTTTCTTAACATTATAATACTTTCGTTTTTAATCAAACTTAACAAATTAATACAATTCTTAAACAATTAATAAGTAGGTAGATATGTAATATAACAGTCCAGTCTTTAAATTTACTTTAGATAGGTAATGACACTTTTAAATAATACTAAATAAGCACATTCATATAGGTAACAATAAAACTTTACATAGGTAACTTTTTACTACCTAGGTATTATATACTATTTAAAATATCACTTAGTTTCACAGTAAATTGCATTCGACCCCTGCGCAGACTCTTTGGTGGAGGAACTATCATTACAATAGCATCTAGCTTAAATATGTAGAAGTCAATGATATCTGGAAATATATATATAGGTTCTTTGGTTTCATCGTTGTAGCTACTTGAGAAGTTACTGGATCTGGTAAATGACCCTTCATAAAGTTCACCTTTTTGTAATATTTGTATGATTTTAACAAAATATAATTTCTTAGTTTCACCATACTTAACCACGACCCATGTGCCTTCTTTGATATTATTTTTTATAATAATATTAGACATTTGGCCCACATTAATTAAATTTGAGCTTGAGCTTTGTTGATCTTCTTTGGCCTCATTAACTATCATTTCAAATTTCAATGTCCACTGGTGTATCAGCTTCATTAAAGTTTTCTTCTCCTGGGTCATCCTCACTTTCAGAAATATTAAAATCATTGCCTTTTATGCTTTTTCCTGGTTGAACTTTTAATCTTTTCTTCCTTTGTTTCTTAGTTGTGTCAGGTATATATTCGCGAGGCATTTCTAAAACAAAAAACAACAAAAATAACTTGTTATTTATTATACACTATATAATTGTTTAAACACATATATTGTTATGTCCTACCTATAACAACCTACACATTTGAATCCAAACAAAAAAAAATCCAGCAAAAACAAAAATATATTACGTACGTAGGAAGAAATCTATAGGTAGGTACCAATTAATATATTATACACACTGACCCTATTCACCCCAAAATCAAATTTTTTTTTGTTTTTTTTTTTTAGATTTTTAAAAATAATATAAATATCTATAATATTTGAACGAAAGAAATATTTTCGAGTTCAAAATATGTTTAAGTAACTTAAAAAACTTATTTCAAGCACTGTACTTACTTTGATCTGCGATTTCCACATAAAGTTTGTTGAGCTGTGGAAATTCAACACACGATAAGGTTCAGATTGCACTATCTACTGATAATAGAAAAAAATCATATCATATGATTGTGACATATCTATAATTTTGTAATGCGTCTCTAGTTTCCAAAGACACATTAACATTATTGATATCATTATTATTTTATTTGTTATCACATTAAATAAGAAAAATACAAAACACTGACCCGATTCACCTCCATGACCCTACTCACCCCCTTTTACGGTATATTATATTATATTTAGTATATTATATAAAGATTATATCATACCTACTGCGGCATACGGGCTTATTGTAATAATAATAATCAATAAATACTAATAACTAATAAGTATTATTAAGTAATAATATTATAATATTATTTAGTTTTATTGATATACCTAGTCACCTAGATACAAATCAAAAATTTACAATGCTCAAGAACATATTGTAAAATATGTTCGGCATAAATAGTTTATTTTTAAATTAAAAGTAATTGGGTTATGCTCTTGTATATATTTTATATTTCAAATGTTTATATTTATAAACAGTCAATAATATTGTCAGTAGACAAAATAGTTATAGCCGACATGGGTTCACTTTTCGTTCTCGGCTCTCTCTAAGTACGCAAGATTTACAATACCGTGTTTCAGTTTTTGTGTAACTATGATGTGTCGATGTGATTATCAGTGTCCAGTGAAATACGTTTATTTTTATTTTTTTTTTTTTATTGATTAAGTTATTAAATTATTTAATTTTTAATTTTTAATTCTCTCAATACATTTAGTCTACACTAAATATGGACTTGGTCTATGTAATATGTATAATACTTATCTGTATTAATAAATCAAAAGATTGTATTTGTTTCGGAATTTTCAATTTTGTATGCTTTTCGTACCTTATACTAAATAATTCTATTATTCAATACCTATGTATAGAAAAGCTATAATATTTATGATTTTTATTTTTTTAAACCATATAACTGGGTATTTATATAGATATTATAAAAAAAACTTAACTTTAGTTAACTAAGTTAATTGAATATGTTCATTTAAATTTTAACTTTAAACTTTTTAAAATGTTTTCCATTAACTTAACTTAACTCAGTTAAAAATTATCATTAACTTGTACAGGCTTGCTTATACCAGTTTATATAATATAATATGTGTATTATAAGCTCAGCTATTTTATATAAATAAAAACTAAGATAAATTTATATTAGGATATAGAAACTTGTAAGTTGGCACTATCGAGATACTATTGAAAAAATGATCAATTTTAATTTTGGTGCAAATTACAATTCCTATTATTCTTACTACCTGAGGATGGTGCAAATTAAATATCCATTTTTTTTTGAAAATTACAAATGCATTTCAAAAATATGTTGCAAATTACACATGTTGTATATATTTTTTGTCGATTTTGGTGCAAATTGACTACAGACATATTATATTACTAGCTGAATTATTCTGCGTTGCCCTTGAAACATTTTTGATTAATTAACTCCTTTTAGGTATAATTCGGTGTGCATATGGAAGTAAAATCATATTATGTTTTAATTTTTAGCCATCCACCCAACTCAAGTGCCCGTGTAACTCGCTTATGGTTATGTGAACGGCTGTAGTCATTTTGCACAAAAATTGACCCAAAATATACACAATATGTGTAATTTGCACCCTTGTTAGATTCTGAGTGGAGCGAGGAAGCTATTGGTTTTACAATGGTGATTATTTTTTTTTTAATTTTTAATTTTTTTTTTTTTTATATCCAGGGGGCCAATTCTCAAATCAATTGAAAAGATCGGTAAAATAGCTCTTTTCGATCAAAAAAGTCTATTCGGTTGCTGGTTTTCGATCGAGTGTATTCTCAGACAGTGATCGAATATTTTAAACCTTAAATATTATTTTTGATCGGTTTTTCGATTATCGATTCACTTATCACTAAAAACAGTTTTTATTCCATTTAATAAAACATTTTATGGCTAAATTTTGATAGGTATTACAAGTTTTCACTTATAAGTTTATTGCTATAGTAGCTAGTTTTACATTTTTAATAGTATTAAGAATTACTACATTCAACATCGAGTACATTCATAATTAGTAATTATGAATTCTCAAAAAAAGTTTAAGGGGAAATCAGTTATATTATTGAGCAAAAACAAGCCTTAGTATTATTTATGCAAGAGCTACTAAAGGGCAAGTTTAGTAAATCATTTACTTATAAACATTGTAAGGACTTATGGACATAGATAGGCAGTGCCGATTTTAGAAATTTTGAGACCGAGTGCAAAAATACGATTACTAAAAAAATTCTCCTCTACAAATTTTATAATAGGTATTTTTACTGTAAACCGCTTCAATAATCCTTATTACTTGAATTACGAAACCATGTTTTTATGCCATATTTTGTTCATTAATGTGCCCTCTTAAGGAACTATCATTAGGCGTATTAAAACGCTGATATCTACCTATATTATAGTGCTATAAATACATTAGTTGCTTTAATTTCAAACAGCATAATTCATTAGTATTATATAATATTTATTATCTCTGTTATTGAAATAATTTAAATTTTTAAATTTTTAATAATTCACAAGGAAATAAAATTCTGACTACAAAAATACTGGCACCCGGGGCAGTTGTTGCCAATCCCCCCCCTAAATGTGACCCTGGAAATAGGCAATGAGTTAAATTCTATAGTCGGTGAGACAAAAGAACCATTAAAGTAGAAAAAAGTAAAAAAATACATAAGTACTAACCTAATTAGTTTTATTTAAAATTTTAGTGAGAACAATTATCGTTAGTATGGGTAATATTATACAAATTAATAATACTGTATCAATACCTAATAGGTTAGGTATATAATGTTTAACTTTACACACTAAGTACAGTAGGTACCTAAGTACTTTGAATAAAACAAACAACAAATAACAAATAGGTAAATACCGTTGTAACTGGTACAGATAAATCGTTATTACACACTTTAGGTAGCTGCTGTAAAAATACCACACCGCAAACAAAATTATAAAATTATTGTTAACATAGGAATAGTATCAACTAGTATACTATAAGTCGAAAACAAGTTTACGATTGGTAAATAGTAGTCGAAACGAGAAATCGAATACTACGGTCGAAACGCAGATCGAAAACTGTTTGAGAATACGGATTTTTGAATTGGTTGTAAATATATCCTCTTTCGACCAAATTTGGATCGAAAACCCTTTTCGTTTGATTTGAGAATAGCTGAAAATAATTGTATACAAAATGTCTACCAGAAGGAGTGCTTCGATTACAACACATAGTACCTTATATTTTAGAAAATTGGACCGAGATGGTACTTTAGAGAGGTCATATTTGATTTAATCAATAGTTATTTAATGCCATGGCAAAAACAACCGAAAAATTACGAAAAACCGTTAAAAATGGGATTTTAATAATAAAAAAGAATAATATTATAATATTAATTCAACTTACATGATATAATAAATAATAACAATATATAATATCCAGACTGACAAACCATCTAGGCTCAGAATCGTTTTTCTTATTCAATTATATTATATCATTGAATTCAAGTTTAATACAATCCATTATACAATAACCCACTTATTATAATAATATTTTAATAGGTAAGTAAGTGAAACTTACTTGGTTGGGTATAGTTTTGTTTTGCTGACACATAACTATATGCAGTTTTTGAGCCAAAGAACGGAAAAGGATGGTCGTCTTGATGAAAACATTTATCTGATTCACATTTAATACAATTAATTATTATTAGTGTCGCTATAACCACGATAAATCTCATTTTAAAATACATTTTATTTTACTATGCATAAAGTAGGTACTAGAAATAAAAAATAAATTGTAAGACAATATTTTTACAATGTCCAATGCAATTATTGAATGTATTGCCTGACTATAATAGATGATATTCTATTTCAATGTTTAAAATGTCATGCAGTTATACATAATTTTAAAGTGGTACTCGTACTATAGTAAAAATAAAGTAAACTCTTCACCTCCACCTTTTTAAGTTGGTTAACTCCCGTAGGATACTTACACGTTTAAGCACCTTCACTGCATTCACAGATAATTGTTGAGTTAATTAATTTATTGTTATTTGCTTTATACAACTATCAAATAGGTAAAAGATAATATTATTTAATATACCCAATAAAAATATTAATAATATTACCCAATAATAATATATATTATACCCAATAAAAACACTCCGCCAAACTCCGTGTAGAAAAAACTACTTGTTGAGATATAATTTTATAGCTTAGCTTATTCATGTAATGAACTAACCTTTGAATTATAGATACCATTTATGTTATCATAAATTATATCTATAGTTCAAAGACTTAACCATAAAATGATTTCAGAACTTTCAGGGCCGTTTTTTTTACACGGAGTTTGGCTGAGTGCTTTTATTGGCATAATATCACTCATCAGGTACTCATCAAGTACCAACTAGATTCACTTTCCTATCAAAAAAAGTACTGTTAAAGAAAATCCAAGCATTTTTACTGTCCTAAAAGGTGATGACAGACACAAAAAAAAAAAAAATTGTAAAATCAATAAATTCATCGTTCCACTCAGAATCTAAAAATCTAGTAATGGTCAATTAGGTCTTATTCTGATATTAATATCAAAGAGGTTCTAACTTCTAATTTCTAAGTATAATCTATACAAGTATAATCTATACACAATAAATTGTGGAAATCTATTTTGCATGTCCAGCCTATATTTATTTATCATACCTACCTAAATACCTAATTGACGATGAGGCCAAAGAGTAGAATTAAAGTCTATACAGCTTAGTCGACGAACCGCAGTGAGCAGTTGTAGGTAGGTACTATGTTATTCGTTTAGAGCTAACGAATTAGTATAATAAGTAATAATAACCATAATTATAAGTAAAACCTGATTTACTGTCATTGCAGTGTCATATTAATATCTATATTAAAACCCATCTGCATCGACGTTGTATTGATTATTTACGAAATAACATGTATAGGGTTAAGGTTAAATTTTTCATTTGACTAGAAAGTAATTTCTTAAATCCCTATGGTATAATATGTAACAGCTAAATTTATACAAAAATAATTATTTTCACTCATTGCCTCATTGCATATTTCTTATAAAAAATATTTAAAACATGTGGCGTCGCAAACTATATTATTACGATACAACAATAATCTTTACCCACCCATGCATCCCCTCTAACCAATGTCATAGACCCGTGATTTAATTAATCTATCATACCTATAACAATTAACAACCAACCCACTCATATACCAAATTATACTGTGAGACAATTTTATTGCCTCACAAAATCCTATTGGCGATGTTACTTTTTTAAACAGAATTCAAATGATCAGTTATAAAGAGGAGAACGTTTATATTTTGTAATCCATTATTATATTATTTTATCTCATTATATTATAATAGCCAGTAGGTATTATAGAACTCGTGAGTCGATATAATTAATTATTTTCATTTTCATATCTTCGTGTATTTAGTTTATATGTTGGTTAGTTGTAATTTTTGGTATGAAAAAAATTGACGTCATATTTGAGTATAAAAGATAAAAGTATATCTACACTATACGTATACCTACATATATTATAAAATAATATTTGAAGATCAAGTCATGTTGGACATTTGTCATTTTGCGCATTGAAAATCAGCATTAGACACGCGTTATAGTACCTATTTAAACTAAACAGCAGCTTATATAGCCAGAGCAGTTTATTCGTTTGTTTGACCTCTAACAATGGCTATTTGAACTTTAATTATATTTTTTTTAATTAATCCATTGTTTGTTTGTGGTCTTTACATATATGTATAATACTATAATGTTATCATGATGTTTTAATATATATTTTTAATTATATCCTTAGTTCTTTGTGAAATTTGGTACATGCTTTTTCCTAACTTTTTGTATTACGAATATACCTAGTCGTATTCAATCTTATATAGTCAAAGTATTTCTAAAATGTTTTGCTTTTATTAAATTTAAATTGTTTCATGGATTTAGTGCTTTAATTAAATAGGTACCTATATTAATATGTATTTTAATATAATGTTTCGATATTTAAAAGTGTATTTTCAATTAAGTAATTATTTCGTAAAATACATATATTTTTTATAGAATTTATCTATTTTTATTTTAAACATTTTATAATAATTTTAACTTGTTTACGTGTAGTTTCTATATTTGGCACATATTGGGTACTTCTTTAGCACTGCAACACGATTGTGCCCATTTTACCTTTTTACCTGTACACAAAGCAACATGATTGCACTCTATGAAATATATTTACGTGTTTCCCAGTCTTTCCTATAAACAATAATTTTCCTTTCCAATTTTACAAATATTAAATACCTGGTTATTATTTAGCTTATAAATTATAATATAGTAGTTAACTATAATATAGTTTTGGAAATGTTATATATTATGTTTTTATTAATTATTTTACACATATTGGTGGTTCATTGGAACAATACAGTTGAAGTATTTAAAAAATATGATGATTAATGATTATTAAACATATTGCATAAAATATAAATATTATAATGTACATTTATTTTAATAATTTTATTTTGCATAATTTCTCGTATCTTAGAATTTGATGTTACCTGCAGATGTATATTTTAGACTTTTTAGTACACATACCAGATACCTATCTAATAATTTTGAATACATTAAATTAATGTATATTTCAAATTATTAATCTATAAACGCTAATTGAGTAGGTATTGACTAATAATAAATGAATAACTATAATATTGTGCAATACAGACTGTGTTGTATGCGGACCGTCACTCGTCAGAGATCCAAAAGATGATGATTTGAAAAAAAGACTTACGTTTTTACCAGCCCCACCCACCCCACTCAGGGGTAAAAATTTACATTTTCGAAATTTTTCTTCTTCAGACATTTTAGCACGTAATATGCACGAATTCGCACGCCTAGTTTGAAAATTCGGGTGACCTTCCCTCTCCTCCAAAAACAAAAAATTCATTTTTTGTCAAGATAGATTTTTTATTCAATCAAGATATTAGATTTTGAGTGGAACGATGATTGTATTGATTTTACAATGATGTGTGTGTTTTTTTTAAATTTTTTTTTTTTATTTGTGTCTGTGTACACGATAAGTGGTCGAAATAATGTTTCGATTTTCAACTTCAGTATCTTGTTCGATTAGAAAGTGAATATCGTTGGTGCATTGAGGAGGTCAAAATTTAAAATTCACATTAATTTTCAAAAGCACAAAGAAAAACAAAAGAAAAATTAGTTAAGGAAAAACGGGAATTTTTACGCAAAATCGAATTTGGTTTTTAGTGTAACTTTAAAACAAATGGCCGTAGATACATGACATTTACACTGAATGTTTATATTAGCATTTCTTATACACCATACAATTTTGAAAATAATTTGACCCTTTTTGAGCTGTTAACGGACATTTACAGTTTTCAATTTTTTTCTATAAATATCAACAGTTTTATCTGTTGGGCCCAAAAGTGTAAAAATGTAATACAAGGCTCCTGATATATTGTTACAATATCAGTTGAAAAATATTAAAAATACATACTCAAAAATTTTTTTTTATAAGCATTTAAAGATTGAATTTTGACAAATTTTATCAAATTTTAAATTGAATACATATTTTGTAGTTAAAAATTTATAAAATGTTCAACGTTTATATCTAAGGATTGAAAATTTAAAACAAGATTCCATGTAAGTAGTTAATTCTGTTACGAAAAAAACTAAAAAATACACAGGCACAGTTTATTTTTATAGTCATTTTAAGTTCAAATTTGGACGAAATTACATATTAAAATCAATATCAACGATTTTGGTTTTTTGTTGTAATAAAAAAATATTATTTGGGGATATATGAAACTGAAAAATCAAAATATTATGGCCTATTCATACAATCTACCATAGTATAATGAATAAGAAGTATGCTCAATGATAAGACTGTGCATATTTTTTTTTATTTTCATTGATAGGTATGTATATAATATGTCTTAAACCGTCTTCGCTCAGAATCGTTTTTCTTATTCAATGATATTATATCATTGAATTCAAATTTAATACCATAAATTATATAGTGACCCACTTGTAACCTACTGTACAGCAGAGCATTTTTTTTTTTATTGAGGTTTTTTATTTATTATAGATTGTTTATTAAAAATTGATTTATTTTCTATTAACTATATTTGATTTACTCAGGTTTTTTTTATAGATTTTTTTATTCAACCAGGCTTTTTTATTCGATCAAGATTATAATGGTAAGTTTAGAAAAATATTTAATTACAATACTGTGTATAACCTGAAAAAAAGCCTAGTTGAGTAAAAAAATCTATAAAAAAAACCTTAGTAAAACACCTGTAGTTAATAAAAATAATCTATTTTTAATAAACAATAAATATCAAATAAAAATCTTTATTTTATAAAAAAACAATGTGAAATAAAAAACTTAATAAACAACTGTATTTAATAAAAAAATAATCTAAAGACAATGGAAAAAATCTATCTTGACAAAAAATGAATTTTTAGTTTTTGGAGGAGAAGGAAGATCGTGTGAATTTTCAAACTAGGCCTGCATATTCGTGCGAATTACGTGCTAAATATCTGTATAGTTTGTTTATAGATTTTCCTTCGGGAGGGGGGGGGGGCTGGCATCACGTACGTGAAAAAAAGTCGTAGTCAATCTTAACAGTGAAATAAATAATAGTATATTTTTACTTTCTAATAATTTTAATTATACAGTAGTCGTATATATTTGTGTG